CAACAATTTGGTTGTGACCGTTTTCTGATGCCATGCATAAGGGCATCCCTTCCCCAGAATCAGAACCATTAACCTCTGCCCCATGTTCGACTAGATACTCAACAATTTTGGTGTGTCCGTTTTCTGATGCCATGCATAAGGGCGTCCGTTCCAAACAATCAGAACCATTAACCTCTGCCCCATGTTCGACAAGATACTCAACAATTTTAGTGTGACCGTTTTCTGATGCCATGCATAAGGGCATCCCTTCCCCAGAATCAGAACCATTAACCTCTGCCCTATGTTCGACTAGATACTCAACAATTTTGGTGTGTCCGTTTTCTGATGCCATGCATAAGGGCGTCCGTTCCAAACAATCAGAACCATTAACCTCTGCCCCATGTTCGACTAGATACTCAACAATTTTGTTGTGACTGTTTTTTGATGCCATGAATAAGGGCGTTCTTTTCAAAGAATCATAAACATTAACCTCTGCCCCATGTTCGACAAGATATTCAACAATTTTGTTGTGACTGTTTTCTGATGCCATGCATAAGGGCGTTCTTTTCAAAGAATCAGAAACATTAACCTCTGCCCCATGTTCGACAAGATATTCAACAATTTTGTTGTGACCGTTTTCTGATGCCATGCATAAGGGCGTTCTTTTCAAAGAATCAGAAACATTAACCTCTGCCCCATGTTCGACTAGATACTCAACAATTTTGTTGTGACCGTTTTTTGATGCCATGCATAAGGGCATCCCTTCCCCAGATCCAGAACCATTAACCGCTGCCCCATGTTCGACTAGATATGCAACAATTTTGGTGTGTCCGTTTTCCGATGCCTTGCATAAGGGCATCCCTTCCCCAGAATCAGAACCATTAACCTCTGCCCCATGTTCGACTAGATATGCAACAATTTTGGTGTGTCCATTTTTTGATGCCATGCATAAGGGTGTCCCTTCCCAAAAGCCAGAAACATTAACCTCTGCCCCATGTTCTACTAGATACTCAACAATTTTGTTGTGACCGATTTTTGATGCCATGCATAAGGGCGTCCTTTTCCAAGAATCATAAACATTAACCTCTGCCCCATGTTCAACAAGACATTCAACAATTTCGTTTTTCCCGATTTCTGATGCGTAATAAAGTGGAGTGTTTTTCCCCAAATCAGTAGTATTTGTCTCTGACCCTCTTTCAACAAGATATTTCACAATTTCTGCCTGACCGTTTTTTACTGCAAAATGTAAAGGTATTTCGTCCTCAAATCCCTTGGGAAACCTTATATTGAATTTATATTGCGTGTTTTTTTCAACGGTTTCATTATCTCCAAAATCTAATGCTCTGTAAAATTTGGGTCTGTTTCCTTGATCAGGCATATTTATATATGCTCCATTTTCTACCAAATATTTAACAATATCAGCGTGTCCATGTTGTATGGCTATATTCAATGGCGTTGTATTCTTCGGACCAAATAAGGAAAGTGATGATTCGCATTTGTTCACAATTTCTACCTGGCATGCCACAGCTCTTTTTACAAGTTCTATGTTTCCTCTATGTATTGCTGTTGTAACGAGTTCCTGCAATATCTGATCTTGGTTATGAGAATTGGAGATAAGATTTAGCAGAACATTAACTACTTCAAAATTATTTTCAGCTAATGCCATCGATAAATGAAATTCATTCCAAGGGATATCAGTGCGCAAAGGCTGACCAAACTTTTTCACTGTAAACTTCAAGTCTTCGAAATTGTAAGACATTAAGGCGTACGACCAAAGAGAATGTATTTCATTTTCCAATAGACCTTCAACTTTGGCTCCATGTTCAATTAAGTTCTTACAAGTTACAATATCTTTTTTCTTTATAGCCCATTGTAACATTGTTCTGCCTTCACTGTCAAGAACGTTGAGATCTAATCCTTCTCTTAAGATCAGATCAACGGTATCTGAATTCAGTAATGTGTCATATACACTCGATTTTAAAAGCAACCTTGATATGTCTACGTACTTTTTACTGATAGACTGATATAATGCTGTTTTCTTTTCATTATTTTCGCAAATAGTAACATCTGCTCCATTTTTCACTAGTACGTCTACTATTTCGATAAATCCCTCCTCGGCAGCAACAAATAAGGGAGACTTATTGTTAGCATCACATATATTAACGTTAGCCTTATTTGCAACCAAGAATCTAACAATATTGACATGACCGAAATAAGACGCGCAATACAAAGGTGATTTATTGTAACCATTAACCTTGTCGATATTCGCATTCCTCATGATCAAATGTTCAACGGTCTTTATATTTCCATGTTTGGCTACAAATGTAAGCGGCGTATCTCCCTCAGGCATATCATCACGTTTGTTGATATCTGCCCCAGCATCAAGCAAGACATCTATTGTTTCACAATTGTCTCCTACACATGCGGCGGTAAGAGGTGTATAACACATGTGGATATTTAAGGAGTCAAATTTACCACTAGGACTTTCGTCATTACAGTTGATATCTAAGTATCTAATTAGTTTCTTTGTAATTTGTGAATCGGCACTAAACGTACTCAAAACAAGAAGATGAGATTGTTCAGATAACGAAAACAAAGACATTTCCTTCCTAGCTAACTCATGAAGAGAGAATCTTTTCATAAGAAATTCAAAAAGAACATCGTGGCCGTAAGCAACTACCCAGTTAAGCGCCCTGATCTGATATTTAGTTTTATATGTTGTTATATTTTCAGGCATTTCTTCATCTTCAGCCATAAAGGAATCGGTCATCACCTGTGCATATGTTTCACCCACAATAAGTCTTTCAAAAATGTATTTTCGTCCTTCGTCAATTTTATCAATAAATTCTGTGGCAATGAGATGAGGGACATAATCATGATTTTTCAGAAAAGTTTCATATAAATCTTCGTTTGGCTTTGTATTCAGATATTTGATGAAGTCATGTAAAAAAGATTGCTCTTTCAAACATTCATTTTGGAAGACGTCATAAAATTGCTTATCCTTGATGTCATCATAAAGTCTTTCAGCAAGGACAGGGTATGTTTCTTCTGGAATGATAACAAATGAATTAAGATTTGATTGTGCATCGGGTTTAAGCCTCACACATCTAGAAATGTATCCACTGTTCATCTTAGATATGACCATTTCGGGGAATTCTCTCCCGTACATGTATGCCATTACTTCAAATATGGAGTCATGAACAAAAGTGTATATTTCATCAATTTTGATGACATATGTCCCATTCATTTCGTTTAAAGCATCGCATACTTGCAATTCAGACAATGATCCCTCTATCCTGAATTGTTTAACCATAAGACTTAATGTTTCAGTATCTTTCCAATCATGCATGTTAAGCCTGTTCTGAGATAGCACACAAAGAGCTAACGAGGCGTAGTGAGTCTTATTTAGAAGCTTCATTTTCTCAAATTCTGCAACCAAACACTGCTTAGGCATTTCAAAAAATCGTTCGCCATCTTTTTGATATTGGACTTCTTTCGAAAACAGTTTGCAAAGCAAAGGAAACATTACAGATCCTGATTTAAGTGACAATGATTGATATACAGATTTTTCAACTCTGCATTTCTCACAATGAATTGTGAGCATTTTCATCATATCAGTTGTTGTAAGGGACATTCTTTTGCTTTCGATATCTATCGTATTTTGAAAAATGTACAGGTCTAATTTTCTTCCTTCATTATACACTGCTTTTCTGCAGGTGAAAACGAATTTTGCTTGTTTTTCTGATAAGGACTTTATAATTTTTGTAAAATCTACTAAGGAATTGTATCTTGACCTATCAAACCCAAACACGCCTGCTGGATCATCATACAAAAAAAGCTGTTTCACACTGAAATGTCCAAAGTTTTTGATATCCTCTAAACAAATGACTGGGATGATCTCCCATCCCTCGCTTTTGTATTTGATCGCTAGATGGCGTGCCTTTGTTGTTTTTCCTGTACCTGGCCCTCCTATAATGGTGACAACATTATGAATATTCATCATCTCTTCAAACTCTTTAAAGGCACGAGTTTCACAAAACACTTCATCATCTTCTTCCCAGATTTTTATCTCCTCAGTTTGACGTTCTAAATAGAAGTTACGAAATAGAAATATTTACGCATATCCAGAAGGTTAAATATGTTTAAATATATTTATTTCATTCTGTTTCGCATATATTTGATATTTCACTGTGAAAAAAAAAACCAAGTATTAAAATGGAAACTTTCACGTTGAAATATAAATATCGGAGTAAAACTTTTTATTCTTCTTCACACAGTTCTTTTTAATTTGAAATCAAACTGATGTGAATTCTTTTCTGCAAACACATGGTTTCATATATTGATTTACTGATAAATGTTTGAACAGAGAGGTTTCGCTCGCCGAAATAAAATAAAGAAAAAATAATTTCAACCGTCCCTCTTTTGCTTTGGAAGTGAAAACTTTGGTGAATATATTTATCTTGAACAAACAATGTACGTCATGTATATTAACGAATGAAAGAATCCATCTTTTAGTATAAATATGTATTTTGGAATCAATTAATATTTGTTGATCAAAAACATATTAGCCTACTAAAGGTGCAATACGTAGATGAGTTTTGAAATATAAGTAGGAATACTGATCAACTGAATAGGAAAATATTTAAAATATTGTTTTTATTTGATATCCTCGATCCCAACTTTTTTATTTAATATAACATCATCATAAAACATTATAACAAAGTGTTTACTATTTACCCCCATGTAGTCTTTGGTTACTTAATTTCCCACCTTGAATAATTTTGTGACTGTATTTTTCATTTACAAAAGAGAAAGTACCTTTTATGTGCGCTGGTATATGAGTCTGTTCCAACTCTGAGACTCTATTTTTTAGGAGATCAAAGTCATCCATGATACTCTTCCTAGCTTTCTTATCAAAATTTCTCGTCTCCAAAGAAGAGGTTTCTTTTTTCAATTTTCCATTACTCAAACGAGAAATTGCCTAAAAAATTTTCAAAGAAAATAATCAATTTTCAAGTGATCACCAGATAATATAGAAGTATTTTATCAAATTCATAATACATGTACATGAAATACGGTAGATAAGTCTATATTTCCACTAAATAGTATTGAATTTGTATGACATTTACTTGACTGAGAAAATCATTTATTCAATGGATTTTATACGACACGTGTCTTGTAGGAAAACTGCAGAAGGTTATCTTCATTAGGTCTAAGAGATAAATTAAATGTTCACCTCTGATAAATCAAACCATTTTCTTTGGAAAGTCAGTTGATCCATTGAAGTCTTCCCATGACAGATGGAGTTTCTGTGTATCCTAACACGCTCTATATCATCAGTAAGAGAGGTGTTGTGAGGTCGAGGATCTTTGCCCCAACCATTAGAGGGTGCCTTTACACTCACTGTATTACGGAAAAGAGTGTAGAGCAAAGTTGTATCAAAGTTTGTCGTCGATACCGGACAGGCTGAAATGAAATATAATGCTCTGTTGAGTAAACATTCAAAAAATAAAAATGTTTAAAACTTTATATCTTATTACGGAGTATATTTGCATAAAATATGTCCTCAGAAAAAGAAGCAAATTATGACATTCTTAAATAATCAGATTGGGAAATTTCAATGAACTTTAATATCACTTACTTGGAAAAAGGACTTTCATCTGCTGAGAAGTACATCTCTCCTTCAGTTTGCGTGTATGAGTCTGTAGATGAGAAGCCAGGAGGGGTGGTGGAACTTTATTGTCAAATGCCATCCTCAGAGCTTCGGTGCCCAGTTGTGCCAACAATAAAAACCTTAAGAACCTATTTTCATCCTCCGTAATGGCGTCATCATTGTCATCTGTTCCAAAAGATGAAAAGATGTGAAGATAACGAACGACAATCATACAAACAATACAAACTGTAAGCAGAACGAACAAAGACCTCTAAGGCCAGCCAGAGGTAGGATAAGGTGTTATGGATAAGTGAGCACCTCCTGTCGACAGGTCACACCAGCCGTGTGCTCTTTGTCATGATCAAATAAAACGAAAAAATTCCTTGACAACTCACTGCGAAAAAATGGCTTAATAATTCGTATGAAAGATGCCGATCAACTTTTGACTTGACGATAAACTGTTGTTACAAATAATCTTACTGTATCGACTATATACAGTGATGTATCGACCATACAAATTTGTGCTAGGTCCTTATTATCTCTCCTTGAAAGTGGGCTTTGGAGGTTCGATCAAAAATTTTGAGTAAACTTGAATCATCTTTAATCGAGAATGTTTTGTGGCGTGTTTGGTTGACAATATTATAGACTGTATGATAAACGGATTAGTTGTTTTCTTACTTACATGTAAGGGTTAAATGTGAAGCACATGCAGACGAAGACTTTGTTGCACAACTTGAACAAGTCGATGTTGAGGAGGAGGATGAGGTAGTGATACAAGGTGTGGCTGATGGACTGACAGAGGACTGGTTGGGTAATTTAATTGACTGACTCGTGCCTTGGCTATTACCTGCTGAAATTGGTTGGATATTTACCAGCATCGATTGGTTGGTACTTCTTGTAGCAATTTGACTATTACTAGTGGCAGGAAATATTGAATTAGTATTACTCAAACTGTTGGAAGAAACTGTTTGTGAGATGTTTTGAGTAGCCACGGTTTGCATCAACCCATGATTATTTGAATTCCTTGTACTTGACAAATTATTTTGAGATGAAGGGAAGGATGTCTGTGTCGAAGCTGCCGTCTGATGAATTTGTGGTATTTGTGTTCTTGGTTTCACAGATTTTCTCATCGGGTACGGCGCAGTTTTTTGATAAATAGTTTTCCCTGTATGAGCAAATTAATACATAAATATATTAAATAAATTAATAAAGTCATATACATGTATACAAGTATCATTTTTTAAAAATCTCTCTTTTTTATCAAGTTCATCAACTTAACAGAAAAGTACTAGACTGAGCATGCATGCAGTTAAAATTGATTTTGCTTACAGTCGATGTATAAGAAAGCTAGACTGAATGTGTATATTTTTTTCAAACATTGAGCAGTAATTTATTTTCGGGCGAAATACATATATTCAAAAAGGTTTGAAGGGCATTATTTCAAGGCAAACAACAAATTCATTGACAAAACTGCTTAAAAGGAAAACAATTTCCTACCAACGTATTCATATTAAAAAGAAAAAAAGAAATCCATTGTGAGAGGCATAAGCATATCTAAAAGTTAAATTACTCTGAAAGAATATCTGCAGAAATACCTCAATTAAATATGTGACCCATCTCTACATTCACAATTTAAATGTGTTAAACTGAAATTGCTTAAATTTAAATTTGATCAAACTCGTGTACTTTCACATTAAATTGCTTTGTAAGGGGATCATGCATGGAAACTGGCCTGACTTTTAATGAAATAAATCTATGTATCAGTTTTGCAGATAAACAGACAGAGGCACAAAAACGATTAAGATTTTAAGGCCTTGGACATTTTAAGATCAATGAAAAATTATTACCAAGTTTGCAGTGTTTCTTGCTGGGTATCAAATTATGCTGTTCAAAGATTGCTTTTCTTTTTCGTTGATATATTGACCTTTGAACAGACGCCAAAGTCCCTAAAATATTATCATTATTATTATTCATATGATCATTGTTCTGAAATATTAATATTTACAAACGTTTCCGTTTATATAATAAAAATATATGTATATAACATCATAAGTGGTAAACGTGATTAACAAATTCCAATCTTATCATTGAGAATAGAAAAAAAAACTCTGTGGGTTTGAAAATATATTACTCAAATATTTGTTAAATGATTGAATCTGAATTAAAGCCATTTCGGCTTTATAAGATTTTATCACATGGGTCAACCCATGTTTACTAGCATATCCGATAAAAATTTAGAAATGATCCATTAATTATTTCATAAATGCATATTTACATACCTTTTCTTTTGTAAAGTTCTTTAATAATTTTGTGTCTGTAACCATATTCCTGTACTCCAGCCTCCTTCAAATTTTCTGAAGTCATTTCCTTTAAAATATCCATGGTTATTTTCTGTCTTGAGAACAGTTCTGTGAGGCAGTCAAGGCCAATACTCATCAGAAACTGGGTCACAGCCTCGTCTTCATCTGCCTTGCCCTCCGGCATTTCCGGTCCAGAAGTGCCAGCCATGTAAATACCTAATAATACATGAATGTACCAACATAATCAAAGAGTCAATTTAAAAATCAATTCTGTTTAGGAAATCAATGTCTTGAAAGCAATAAAATAGAATTTTTTCTATCTTACAACATAGGACAAAATATATTAACTTTTTCTGGTATTGTTTGCATCAGTGGACTTCATTTTGAGATCGATAAAATTATGAATAAATATTAAGTTAAATCCTTATTATGAATGAAATTCAATGTGTCAATTCGTTTTATGCATTGTTTGTTGAACAGTTACATAATGAGAAGTATTCTCATTCAATTAAGTTGTCAACAGGATCAGGAAGATTTGTTCTTTCCTCTTCAAAAAGCAAGTTTTGATATAATTACAGCACCTTCTCTCTAGTTTTTTAGCCGGGCTTATTGCTCAAAGAGCAATTGCCGGCTTATGTGATCCTGTTCAAAGCAGGATGTTGACCCCATAGTCGCCATTTAAAAGTTACGTGTAAAAATATAGTTCTTACTCTCAACCGCTTTTGAGATAATACAAACGCTAAATAAAGCAACAATAATAAAACGAAATTTTATCTATATAAAATAAACATTAGTATAGTAATGACTTTGAAAACTTCATAAGTCAAAGAACATAGTTCATTAGAGTAAGGATTTTTGATAATCAGTGTTACCGTAGTTCTCTACACATACGAGGTAAAGCAGGAGAGGGAACCAGACTGGCCTGTTTGTTTACATTCAGCTGCGGTACCAGATTAATTCTGATTCTGACAAAATCGGACCGTGGTATTAGGATTGAAAAATACACTGTCAGTGTCTTATCATTTATATTGATAGTTTTAAAATAATTTTTTCATAAGAATATTAACGTGATTCATGTAAGAAATCCATTCTACTCTGTAAATGAGCCCGACTCTCTGTACTTCTGAGTACTTTGATTTAAATTACTTTATCAATTCGTTCTATGCTCGAGATCGAGACAATAATACTGATTTTTTTTTTTGAATGAAAATTGTAAAATAGTTTTGAGGAAAAAAATACACAATGAAACAAAACCAGCTATTCGATGTGAAAGAGTCAATATGAAATTTTCAGATCAAGTAGACATAAAAACAAAGGGGAATTCCCTACTCTGAATATGGAATTCCCCTTTGCTGTTTTTAGCATAACATACATGTACGCTAGTTATTTTTATCACCGAGTCATATCTACTACCTTGTTAAATGTAGATTTCATTTATATAAATGAAATGTAAACTAAAAGATACTTTGATTTCGACGAGATTTAAATTACACGGAGTGTGTAAAAAAATAGGATCCTTATATATTTTTTTGAAATGCTCCAGATTAACATTTGGATCCTTATAACTTCCTTATAATAACTTAAGTTTTTTAAAAGAAAGGAAACATAATAAGCATAATATTCATAATATTGATAAAAAGAAAATCATTATGAATAAACTAGACATAGTCCTATTTCTGTGAAAACATATTAAATACAGAGAAAGAAATACTTACCTGCTCAAATCTTGAGTTACATGGCAGCCCTTCAACTAGTCTCGTTCAACCAGAAGCTCGGCTGTCTCCGTAAATCTCCGACTAGCACAGAGAGATTCAATCGATAGCGTGCGACGAAAAAGGGCGAGGCGATCCGATTGGGAGACAGCCGAGCGTCTGGTCGGAGATTTACGGAGACAGCCGAGCCTCTGGTTGAACTTGACCTTCTCGGGCCTTTCCAACTAGCGGAATTTAACGTTCTTCCGACCTCTGACGGAAAGACCCGAGATGATGCGTTTGCAAGACTACTACACGTATTTAACTTTAGCGACAAAAGAAGCTACCAATTAGATGTCATGTTACAACAAAAGAAGGTACATCTTACCTGGTGACTTTCGTTTTGAATAAAGAATTTTTATAAAAGATTCAAAAAATAAAATCTTTGATAACAAGTACTTGCACTCTTCGTTCCTAAAATATCATAATCAAACTCAATATCAAAGCAAGAAAAAACAAACGGACCAGGGGCCATGTATAACTGTTATTCGAGGAAGGGTTGGTATGATTTGATTAAACTTTTATTTACACTATCTGAGGATGCTTCCATATAAATATGACCATTGATGCATGTGTGTAATTGTTCGCAAGATAAATGTTTTTAAAGATTTTCCCATGTATTCCTGTGTAAAACTCTGATCGCCCGTCGTAGGCTCACCCTACACCAGGGGATTTAAAAAAAATCTACATTCCTCGATTACAATGAGCCGATATAAATTTCATATTTTTAGCAAAATAGTATGGTGGCATATTTCTGCCCCCTACATGCAAGATAAATTTATCATTTATTTGCTTTTAAAATGTCAGATACAGGCGTTCGTTAGTACATTTACCCATATTTAAATTATATTTTCTTATATGATTGGTAACTTGCATGTCAACGTAATTAACTTGCATGTTGGCATAAATATGTTGCATGTTAACATAACTATGTTGCATATTAATATAATTTATCTTGCATGTAGGGGGGCAGATATATGCCACCAGACAATTGTTCTTGAGAGGAAAATTTTTTAATGATGCCATCAACTTTCCACGACCCTTAGAAGAAGGTTTTAATACCTCTTCATTTGAACAAACATGAATCCACTTTGCCCTAGGATATTTTCCAAGTTTGGTTGAAATCTTGAGAAGAACTGAAAGTTGGTAAAGTTTTATTAGGCCTACGACAATGACGACAACGAAATACAGAAAAACTCACTTGAGCGGTTACATAGTTGGTTCAATGTGTAATCAAATACTTTTTTCAGCAGTGGTGGGGCGCTATACATCTTGATAAAAATAGATAAAAGGATAGTGGTGAATGGTGAAAAATCATCTCAATTAAAATTCTTTTTCTGATAATAAATAAATTAATAATTGAAATTACGATTCACCAGGACATCTTTTATGCAAGAATTTTTCACGAGGTACAAGACGTAAAAGATTGGCGATAAATGTTCTCAGTTCCTTTAGTATTTTAATTAGAATATGTGTTACCTATAGGTTCGCTCTTACAGGCCCCTCGGAGGATTGATTTTCGTATGTCTTACAAAGCATTTGATTTATTGCTTAACAGAATTAACCAGAATTGCGCCTGTGATGACGATTACATTATTTGCTCTTACAGTTATGAAGACTGATTTTGTAAAATCTCCTAAATACTCTTCAAATACCTTGAACGTAACGATAACACTGCAGGATATGTTCTAAGGATCTTGTTGTTGTTGTTTCTGCAGTGACACGTTAATGTTATTTTATTAAATAACTTAAATATTTTGTTATTTGTAAATACCTTTGTATAATGCAATGATCATTTCTTCCAAGAGAGATAATTCTAATCATAAGTGAGGGTTTTTTTTCATCGATTTTTTTTCAGCGTCAATGACATGTTTGGGGGGAAAATCAAGATGTTGTTTCTGCTAAGAATTGAGAATTAAAAATTGGGAGATTTTTTCTATAGAACATTAAAACGTCAGATCTTATATATAGTTTTCGGGACCCTATAGTTCTCGTTTAATTAGAATGATTGCTTGAAGTTGAACTTATGGTTGCATTTTTACAGTGTATTATTTTGAGTTATCCCACTCTCCCTATAGACCATCTGGGGCCCGTTTCGCAAAGCTAATTTGTTCTTAAGTTATATTTTAGGAAAGAACTTTTTTCATAAGTTCATTAGTTAGCCTATCTGTTTCACAAATCTCGTCTTTGTCGTCGAATTTCGCAAGTTAATTCTTAACTTTAGGACAGCTAGGTAAATTGATGTCCTGGGAAGAAACTGACTATGGCGACTGCATATATTTAATAATAAACGAATGGATACTGTTACGGAGAGAGGGGTTGTTTAGGGATAGAAACAATCTTATCATAAGAAACCTTTGTGAAACAGGCCCCAGGCTTTTTGATGCCTTAAATTACTTCAAATTATTCAATAAATCCAATTATCTCTAAAGTTATAATGTGTTAATATTATAAAATTATCATTTTCCCTCCTCTTCTTACTTATATATATTTTTCCATTTTTTTTATTTTTCATTGTTTGATTGATTTTTTTGTGTTGTTGCAAACTTACTGTCAACAAAATATATAAATATAATATATTCAATGTCCCTTGCTCTATCATAATTATCTGTCTTCAATATAAATGCAATGACAAGCGAGAGAAAAGTCATATTTAAGGACACACGAGACCTTCCTCAATTACAGATAAATTTCCATAAAACTTCATGCTTGAACTATTTGCATATAAACCTGTTCATGCCCAAAAAATTGGGGTATGTCACCAGACTATTTATAGAGTTAGAATAAATTGGATAATCCTTATTATAACATGCAAAAAAAGTATTGAATGCTATTTATAAAGTCATAGTAGATATTTTCCATTGAAACTGTATATCCAGATGGTAAAGTATGATAAAAAATGAAATTTATTTTTGAAAACCATGTTTCCAGGCTATTGAATAAATTTTCTAATGATAATGTTATTTTTTATCATTGTAACTGATTGAGTTATCTCCCATTGATATGAAAAGAAATGAGAAACAAATGCAGTGGAATAGAAAGTGTATTTACATCATCATGATATCACAGATAATTGTTCAAATTAGAAACATGTAGTCATTACATGTATATTCATATAACAATAGTCATTACATGTATATCCATATAACAAGTGGTCAGTTACCTTTCATAAAATACTGATGTAATGACTTGATGATTTTACCATTGGATGTCACTCTGACCTTACCCATGTTTTTCTCTGACAAAATAGACTTTATACCATTCACAGGATCTCTGTGATGAGCAATGCAAAGATGGTCATAGTGAAGACCGGATGCTGCAATTTTGTTAGCTGTAAATTTAGACAAAATATTTTCATCTACAAGATGTTTCAATGAAGAAGCATTTCTACTCAATAAAATAGCATATTTGTCATTCTCAATAACAAAATCTACACTAAAGCTGTGTTTCAGCATCATGGCTCTAGAAATATCAAGGTGAAGCACAAGTCGCTGTAGAGCTTCGGAATCCGCTAAAGCGTCATGGGCGTCATATTGTGCGGTGCATAAATCTTTCATAAGATCCACTTGTTTGTAAGACTTTCTGTTGGGAACAGCTTCTCTAAATAGAGGTAGTGTGTCTACGAACCCAATAATGAAGTCACTGGGTCTTAGTCCCACTTGATGCATTGCACGGATTATAACATTCGAGTCGAATTTTGCATTGTGAGCAACTAACACTATGTTGGAAAAATTTTTCAACCATGTAATAAATGTTTCTATACCATCCTTTGCATTCTTACATGGCACCTGTACTCCATTCTTGAACATAATATTCTCCTTCACAGCAATACCCGATACAGCAGTGGCAGAGGGTGAAATGGGCTGTGTAGATGGAAGGATATACTGTGAAAACGATTTCTCAGAGGCATATGCACCAATCTGGGTGACTTCACAATCTTTACCTATAAAATCATAAGGAAAAGGAATTATAAATCAATATGTCACAAACAAACAACATACACTTTTACATTACAAATTTATAATTCTGGAAGAAATGAAGCAGTGGCATAATTATTATGAAAATAATAGGTCAGTTCCATGCATTACTTCTGCGTCAATATATGAACACTCACCAAGGCCTGTAGTTTCCAAATCAAAGTAAACAAATGTGCACTGGTCATGGACAATAGGAGTAGACTGGGGTTTTCTCAGAGGTGGCGGTATCTCTGTAATGTTTTCCATGTCTCCTTCATTGTTGTTTAGATCAACACACGTTTTGTATGTTGTTCCCTCCCTAATCTCTGATGACTCTTGTGACTTCTGGGAATCTATTTTCTTCATTGCCCTGATCTTCTTGTAAGCAGGTGTATCTTCTCTTTCCTTGTCTCGTTTCCTTTTCAAGTCTGTTTTCTTTGCACTGGAACTAGTGACTTGTTCAGGAGAAAGAAGCAACTTCTTATTTACCTGTAATGAAAGAGGGTATGTTCAAAATGATAACTTCTTTACATGGAAATACATGTGTTTATTGTATTGTCTTATAGTTATGAAATATACAAATTACTATACTACATGTATATACCTGTATTACATATTGATGTCCTAAATTTTTCTGTGCCACAGCAGCAGCAATACGAAAGTCATTACTCTCGGATCCAGAGTAGAAAGTGGACTTTGGTGTTTTACTTGCAACTGTATTGTTGAAACTCTCATTTGCCTGTGTACTTCCTAAGTTGATCAATTTTTCAGCCTGTGAAATGTAGAATCCAAAGAGAGATAATAGATCAGATTTCAAGTGTTGGTTAGATAGGTAACGGTGATATGGAAGTTGCTGTGGCTTGTAGGTTTCAGGAGAAGAGAGAAATCAACACCAGGTATCACATAGGCTGTGGTCTCCATAGACATGTGGTGTTATGGCCTCCATATTTTTCTTTAGACTGCTCAAATCTTCTTGATTTTGACTGATGCAGTATTTGAAACACTTGCTGATATGATTTATGGTTTTGGAATTTAGTTCTTTGTAGTTCTTGCTCTTCTTCAAGTCATATAATTTATTAGTAAATTGTTTCATTGTATGGTTTTTATCACTCTGTTTCTTTAGGGCTGGGTTTACCTCCAAGCGTGCTCTTGCAACAGTTGTTGAATCATTGTCCATGATAACAGTGCTGACATTCACATCATTTTGGCCAAGTTCTTGCAACATCTGTATGCACATATCTGGTTCCATGGCTTTTGCACTTTTGGACCAGTTCTTTCGACAGTCATGGATGGATAGATCCTTTCCAGATTTTTCAGAGTTGTCGCATACTCTACAATAGCTGTTGCGAGTTGCAAAATTGACAATTTTCCCCGTTTCATTTCCGATCATTGCAGCATGACCTGCAAAATTATAATGTATAAATTATAAAAAAAAAATTCATGCAATAAACGAGTAATATCACAACTAAATTACTGTATGAAGATAAAATGTACTGTCTTACATTTTACTTATTGCCAATGTGACATACACTAATCAGTCTATTGAATTTGGACTATGAAACAGTGGAAGATGTATTCAATTTTTATAAAAAAAAAAAAAGAATATCCCTTATTATTTCACTAACATCCACTAAAGAGATAAAAATGTACTTCATGCCAGAAATGCCAGAAAGTGTAATATATTATACCATTATGGACTTCAGTGTAGGTCGATATGTGGTTATAGGGAGTCATGGCAATTGATACTGACCAAAGACACAGAGAGTGATAGCGAAAGAGTAGGCGAGGTCGCTATCATTTTCTGTGTCTGAGGTCAATATCAATTGCCATGAGTCCTATAACCCTAGTAATGAATTTGACCGTTCACTGAAGTCCATAATAGTTATATTATATAATCACTCAAATTGAATGCACTGACACAGTTGTAACTGAACGGATTAGCTGTCATTATGTCACAATAGTTAAATTCACGCTTCTTATAATATTACGTCATGTACTACGTAACTTTAGTGCAACCAAATGGCATGTTGTGTGGTATTATTTTATTTTATTGGAATGTTTAGAAAATAAATTATATACCTGACAAACTGGAATAGGATCTACCTGATCCTCTTTTCTGCCACCCGCCATCAAATGATACAGACAGCTCATTAGGTGTACTGTAAAACAACATAGTTCATGTTAGTATATGTAACCTTGATTTTCATATTTATATTATAAGCATTGCAAATACTATAAAAAAAATGTTTGATAAAAATAACTGTCACAGTACACAGGTTAAAAAATGTTCAATATATTTCTGTTGCTACAAAAGTAATTTTGTACCTTGATGATTCCTTCTCGGTCGCAGCCATATCGTCACAACTCTTTTTGGCCACTTCTTCTAACGCCTTTCCTACTTCCCTCTCTGTTTTCTTCAAGGTTTTGTGGCACACAGATGGAATATTAAGTACACTTAATAGCATTGATACTTTCTTCTGGCCAATGCCTGCATGAAGCATACCTATAATATAAACAATTTTATATACTGTTCTTTTTACAACATAATAACATTGAAATTTTTGTAATTTATGATTTATAATATATCTGGTGGTTCAACTAGTATACCATTCAAATATCAAATAAAAATAAAAATGTCCTCAGAATAAAACTGCACTACATTTTTGTTTGTAGTACATGTACATATAAAATTTAATTATCTATATACAATGCCTACCAAGAGCCAGTTTTGTGTTGACATCAAATGCTCTTGATGGATGGTCACTGTCTATACGCGAGTGTCTCTTTCCTGTTGGAACTGATACCACCATATCACAATTCACACACTTTATTTGTAACATTGATGCCAGTCCATATCTGATCTCACCACAAATATTTGTGAAGTTCAAAGGCTGTCTACAAAATTCACAACCTTCAATCAGTTTGTCGATGACATGCTGAATTTCAATAACCCTTCTCCCTTCGTTCCACTTTATCGTTACATCATCACCAGTGTCTTCACAACCTATCACCATTTCCTCTTCCTCGATGTTGGATGGCACTGACATACAATAGTCATGCTCAAAAGGTACATATTCTGGCAAATCGATGGATTGAGAAGTCTCGGACAGAACAAGACCTGCATCATCATGACCTTTAATAAATGAAATGCACAGTTATACAATAATATGCAGGATATACATGAAGCCGTTTATACGTCCGTATGAAACATGTATGAAAGAGAATCGAAAACAAGAAATCATAATCAAAATTTTCTGACACACATGTAGTCTCTTTTTTCGTAAAACACATTGAGGAAATAGTTTAAGTTATTATTATACCGAGCATTTCAAGATTTTTAATGTTGATATTTTGTTTTCAAATAATTTGTACTTTTACTATTGATTTTCGTATACTAAGGGGTCTTATTCATTGTAAATAGGCAAAACGTTTTATCAAATCACCAGAGCATACATATACAAATAATCAAAAATGAATTTACTCGAGACAAATAATCTCTTTTTTCAATTTGGTGATTAAAAAAAACAAAAATGAAATACATAGGATTAGTCATGTAGAAAAATGTGTCTCGTCATGAAATAATCTCTACCATAAGAAATGTCCCTGATTTGTGGTTTTACATATTTAAGAAATTGTGGTATCTGCAAAATAGACACAGTTTCATCTGACTTTTAAAAACCAATGTTTATAAGGTTTACAATTTCTAACTAAGGCTAATGATTAGCAAAAAGTTGAACACCATTTGTTAATATCATATCTAAAACGAAATAAAATCCAAATGAACTGCAAAAATTGAACATCATTTGTTAATATAATATTTATAACAAATGAAATTCAGCATATAACTAGGAACTGTAGAATCGTATTTGAAATGAATTTAAAATCAATTTCTTTATTGAAATCATCTACTTTGAACTAACATATATTAGTATATTAACCTATGTAAACAAAACATGACATGGACCTTGTTAACACAACAAAGGTTTGGAGCTCTAAATCTGTCTTTCATCTCGACAATTAACGTTTAAATTTTTGATGAACATTGGATAGACCTTAGTTAATTGAATATTTGTATTTATAAAAAGAAAAAAAAACAAATTTGAAAATTTTTCGCTGAAACTCTCTCAATGTCCATTTAATGTTCTTATATAAATAATTCAAACTCAGAAGTCCAATCAAACTATACAAATCCGGATCAGAGCAAACAAAGACCCCTTAAATATCAGAGGTGGGGGATCAGGTGCCATGGAAGATTAAACATCCCCTGTAGACCGGTCACATCCGACGTACCATGTGTGCTTCTTATCATGATAAAGCAAACAGCAAAATCCGTAAACAGAAAAATACGTAAGTAGTAAAATCCGCATCTAATAAATTGAGTTTAAGGAAAGAATAATATTAGCAAATGAAATGGTAAATTTTTGAAAAATATCTACACATGTGCGCAAATGTGCGGTATACAACTTCTGCCATGGTATTAAAAAATATTTCCAATCACTTTTATTTAGCGCAGTCCTATTCGAGTTTCTACCGGTGATTTTAAGAATTATCTATGTTACATGTACCTATATGGTAAAAAATGTTACAACCTTACAAGATTTTTCCCGCAATTAATTCATTCTTGCAAAGAAAACGAATATTGGACTGTCGCAAAAACTGGCTTATTAAAAATATATAACTAAGTCTTAGATATATACATTATATAATAAAATACGATTTTGCATTAAAGTAAAAAATTTAAGTATAAAATTAACTGGAATTAATTTTCAGCATACATGTCATTTTCTCCTTCTATGATATCCATATATCACAAATAAATCACTGGGATTTTACCGATATATTTTACAAGAGGAGAAAAATACAAGTTGTTTTCAGTTTTGATTACATCAATAGTGCGAAAACCTACTCAGGTATTCACATATCTTATTGATATTAAGATATTCTACACATTATACTAAGGTCATCTCAAAAGTAATGTCACAACTCTCGTCTAATCAATCTTAAATAACCAAAATTTATTGATATTTTTTTCTAAAAAAAAAAAAAAAACTTTACAATTTTGACGCTTTTAGAGAAATGACAGTCAAGATAATGAAACGAGCAATAGTGAGATTTTAAACGATATACAGATAAACTGGAGAAGAGTGCCCAAAAAATAACATGTAACATTCTTTTCATGGGACGATAGACAAAACTTGTGTACACCTGAATGATTTCTAAAAAAAAAAAAGTATTTTATATAACCAAATGAAAATTGAAGGTAGAAATCCAAATTGATATCACCTATAACGACCTACAATTTATGAGAAATGTTAACATTTAATCAGTAAGGATTTTATAGCATATGTGACATTACTTTTGGATCAAACCCCTATTTCAAATCAAGTCTATGCAGACTTGCGCTTAATATTTTTTAATCATAATGTTGGTGTTAAAACGCAATTTTTGTTTTCAAAACTGTATTCAGTTATGGAATTTCCCTCTTATTTCTTGACATAACAGCTAATGAATAAAATGGAAATAACAGTCACTCTGATTATCAATAAGATGTATTTAAGAAGACACAGCTGTCACCTGACTAGGGTATAGAAAGTACTGGGGGTAGAATCTGGTGCCTAGGAGAAGTACAGGAACTGGTCGTGCGTTGCAGGGTGAAATATACATGTACACCTATTTACTGGCTATGAGGACAATAGCAAGTTTATCGTTCCCCAAGACAGCAAACTATTTCCGGAGGCGCAGCCGAGGGAAATAGTTTGCTGTCGAGGGGGACGATAAACTTGCTATTGTCCGAATAGTCAGTAAATAGGTGTTTTATTATACAGATGCTGACTTAACTTTTGTTAACCTTTGGGAGTCCAGGGTACACACAATTATGATATTCCATATTATACTTATACCGATGCTGACTTAACTTTTGTTACGTCATAATATATACGCGTCACAATCCGTATAAAACCGGAAGTTTTCCGAGATGAAAAGCGAGGGAAACAGAATGCTGCCGGTGAATAGTTTGATGACTATTTCACCATGGGCAAATAGCACAAAAACTATTTCACAGTAGGGGCTGTTTGAAAAAGATAGCATGTTTATTCGTCATGTTTTTATATTGAACAAATTCACAGAGGAATAATAAATTGAGATATACGAACAGCATTCAAGCTCAAAGGTCATTCAAGCAATACAAATTAGAAGCAGAGCGAACAAGTACATCTAAATTATCAGAGGTGGGATCAGGTGATTTGGAAGAGTGAGCATCCCCTACCGACCGGTCATAACCATCGAGTGCTCCTTGTCATGATCGAGAAATAGCGATCGTACATATTCAATGAACTTCTTAGATTGAATACTATTTGTTATCTTAAGCCAGGCCATCTTCAATCTAACAGTGACAATATCTATGTTGTCTTTGAAGAGAATTAATTCTAATTCATTATTTTCCGGACTTTCTATTAGCAAAGACTGTGTTCCTTTATCAGCAGATCTATCTAAATACACGTATAAAGCATAATCCATAGAAGAAACAATTTCAAATTATTTTTCCGTAATCATATTTTGATTTTATTTCGACCGGATCTATCTAAATGAACTCGAAATAAAAGAAAGCCACGGACTGACGGAGTCTACCATGCGTATCTGTTTCGTATTTTCGTATAAATTATTTTATATTAATCAATGAGTAAATATGTTACATTAAAAGTTTAGACTTTTTCAAGTTAAACGTATCTATAACAGTTATAGATACGTTTAACTTGAAAAAGTCTAAACTTTTAATGTAACAAATATATGTTCAGCAAATATCTTATGGTGAAACTCTTTGCTATATAATTGAAGATATAAAAGTGTAAGTGTACTTGTTATAAGATTACAAACATATAAAGACAAAGATGAAATGGAAAATCACTGCCTATAAGTCGTAATATTCTTTATCTGAAAAGTGTTATCGTGAAATTTTATGTAAATATGTGTTTTAACCATCAAAATGATAAAATTGATTCGTGACTGTTTTACAAATTTGAAGCATGAAAATTTAGTACATTTATTAAAATATATTTTCATATAAAACTTACCTATGAAATACATTAGTGTCATTGGCCTCCGAGGAACTGATAGCTTTGTCCTCATGAAGGTAAACGTTGTTTAACTTTTGTTGCCATATTCTTCTGTTTGCTGAAATCTTTCATCATTTGAAATTTGGTTCACTTTTTAAATATGATTATGGTGTACAATGCTGACATTTAAGGTCAGACGATACGTTCCTCAGAAATCCGTTTTTGTGCATCTTCGTAATAATGAAAGATACATTATTTAAAATCATGATTACCTTGTGATTTCTAAACTGGTTTCTGATTGTCTTTAAAAATTAACAACGCTTAAACCTTTTATTTTTGGCAATTTCATTTTTTTCCCCAAAAGTATTATATGGGAAATACCATCATATGGCATCCTGCACAAATGCCTGCTAAAATACCTCAATTTTTTGTATCTTAGCTTGTAAAAGCAGCATTACTTTAATGACAAAATCTCAGAAAAAAAAATTATATTTTACTAGTATTTAGGAACGTATCATCTGTCCTTAAATAAAAATATTCATCCCTTTAAAAATCCGTCCACAACTTAAATTTTTGTATTGTAAACGTTTGATATAACATTTGGTTGTGAGCTCTTTGTTTTTCTTTAAACAATTTTTAACTTACGTACGACAAGATATTCCTGAGAATTGTCATTGTTTAAATATAAAATGATCTATAGTAAATTACGTAGGAAGAGTGATTTTTTATTTAGTTGAAGAAAAGGTTTGTAAAATAAAACATGACGGCCTTAACTAAGCGAAACAGCAATTCCTTTTTTCATCCTTGGAGTTAACAACGTACCTGCCAATAACTATTGCTTTCAAAAAAAAGGATTAGGGTAGCTATAAACAAGAAGAAACGAAACCACTGGGGAGCTGTTACAAATAATACAATGAGTAAATCCAATCCTCCCCAAAATAATCTATGAAGTAATTTTTTGAATTGAAATAAAAATTAATAAAATTATTTTTGATAAACAATCACTTTCTAAACTTTAAACACATTTCATGTCTCGTTAAACTATATTACAATGTAACAATATGAATCTCAAATGTGTGCAAAAAGCCAAGCGAGTTTCCAAAGTTTGCAAAACTTTGCATATTTTTATGATAAATATGCATTTTATAAAATCAAGTCTGACGTGTATGAAAAGTATAGCAAATTTATATGCCATAATTTTCTTGAAGTATCCTAACCTTTGTCTTTAAGGTAGGATTCTTCTCATGTTTCTAAAATTTAAAAATTAATGAAATTTTCATAGAATCAAGAAGACAATATCAGTAAGTGATGGTATCAGTGAAATTAAATTTGACCGTTTTATATTTGAGGCAAGGTCAGGTCAAGGTCATTATCTTTTTCCTTGAAATTAAGAATAAAAAATGACTGTTGCCAATCATGTGATACCTACTTCTATTTCAAAAGTTTAATGATTGTTCTTTTTGCATAAAAACATATAACTATATCGGGTCTATAGCATGATATCACCAAATTTACATAAATGATTTAACTTAACTGGATATTGGCTAATCCGAATTTTTACTGTTTTTCTTAATCTTTTAGGATATATTAGTTATTTTCATATGCTTTCTATATTTAACTTTTTCTTATTTTCACATATAATAAATCATTGTCTTATAAATGTACAAAATGATACAAAAAACAAAAAGTTTTGATCGTTTACTAAGAGAGAAAAAATACTTTTTATGGATTTTTGGCTCAAATCTGCACTTTGATAGGAAGCGTTTAAAAGCTAACAAAGTTCTAGTTTGTTTGAAAAATCATATTTACTTGATATATTTTGAAAGTTTAGTCCCTCATTATTAATTTAACTTACATTTGAAAATTTCTCCAAGTCTTCGATAGTGTAAAAATTATAACTAAATTCATTGTTCTATGAGAGGCAGAAAAGAAGATATTTTCATACGCCACCATTCCGCCAAAAATATAGTCCCTGCTAGCTTTCAAACGCAGTTTACCATTTCTAAGTTGTGCAATTGTGATGAAGAAAGAAAAATATGGCCTTTTAAATTCGTTACACCTCAATATATACAGTATATAAAACATATAGGCAAAAATACTTTGAATGTTTCATCTAGTCAGAAACCAGAGAAGAATCCTACCTTAAGTTTCATTTAAATTTTCAATCAAAGAAGAATTGCTTGCAAGAATACATGCAAATATATCCATGTAATATTACAATGGTACTTATATATATCATGTTAACCTTTTTCAGTGCTTTTGGTTTTTAATCATAACAGTCCTTTTTGGTCCTACTCTCTGCGATGCTAGAGTAAAGAAAACTGAAATAAAATTCGGTAGAGGAAGATATGACGTAGACAAACAATGCTGGACGAAGAAGCCCACGAAGCCCTGTCTAGGCGTCCGATCTGAATGTCAGTCTTTAAAAATCAGGTGAGGGGTCATTTCCTTGGCAAAGATCTTTTTTCTTTATTTTTAGAAAATAGTCTGAACAGTGTTTCATTGTGTGCTATGCAAATGTTTCTATCACAGTGTAAAAAGCCACCTTAAAATATGTCCTTAAAGAAAACAATAAGGGGTCTTCTGGTGAAATATTCAGATATATTTACATCAACTGAATATTTTGCCTTTATTTCTTATAAAGATCATTGCCATTAATCCGTGCATAAAACACACTGAGCAAGTCACGTGTGTAATTTTCTTGAACAATGGCTGTTCCAATAGTTCTACATACAATGACATATTCATCTTTAAAACAATTTAATTTTACTTCGTTGAATAATTTTTAATACAGATGTAAATATAGACAATAAAATTTCTCTGTTTGCTAGTACGGGAATTAACATGGCAGCAATTGCAGAAAAAAAATTACATAAACCGCTTACGCAGGTCATGTATTTTTCTGAAATAACTACGACATTAATTTCCGTACTAAAAACCAAAGAAAGCATTTTATTTTTTTAAATAAAACAGATGTTTTGGACTTTGTGGTAATTATACTTCTTTTTACTTTACACTATTTATAATAGGCGCGCTATAAAATTATGGTCCATTTTTCGATTTTATTTTTTAAGGATACCAAAATAATTTTCTTTGTGTTACATTTTTGTAATCCGTAATTACACCAACTAAAGGTAAAGATTGAATTGGAGATGGAGGTAAAAATGCAGAGAAATATATAATTGGATCCGAAGGATATTTGCACCACTGACTTCCTTATCTTATTCTTGATTTTTCTTTTGACTTAAAGTATTTAAGATTTTATTAAGATGTCCATCTTAATCACAATTTGATATTTACTTTAAGTATGACATTAAGTTTCCTTTATGCATTACAGTTAAGCTTAAAGCCACCTTTAAGCCTCTAAGTTATAATTAGATACTGGTACAAGAAAATATTGTTATTTCTTTTATATAAATGAAGATAACAAATCAGAAGTCTCTTATGCGACTGTAGCTCTACTGGTCTGTACGTATAACAAAGAAAAAGTAGCACTTGAATTTAAAACTTTGCAACAGGAAGCAAAAAATAGAAATATGCATCTTAGTCTAGTCTACGAGGGTTGATCCAAAAGTTCGTGGAATTTCTTTCTAAAATTTTATCGTGATTTGATGAAATCAATCAACAGGCATATTCATAATATAGAGTCATAATGCAACAATACTGGAAAATTTCACCACTTTCCAATTACCAATAAGGTCACACGAGCTTTCTGAAAATTAATTGTTATGAAAGCCGGGAAGACTTCGACTTTACGTCAAGTTTGATATTTCACGTCACGTTATAAAAGCATCTCGCCCAAATGTCCAGTTATAATATGTAATTCTACAAAATGTTGCCTTTTTCTCCATTTTTCTCAGGAAAAGCCTGATCGAGTATCCTCTCGCACCAACTTATCTTCATTTTTTACTCATATTTCAAAATACTACCCGTCTTTCCATATGATGTTCCAATTTCAGTAGCAACATGAGCAATGTCAAGAACAGTAAGGCAGCCGACAACGTCCATTAACGCTTTTAATTTGTCTAGGGGGATACGTACTTAAACAGAGCCTCTAATAAGCGACCACACCTTTTATCAACGTCCATGGAAGTTCTATTTTTCTTAAATTTCTTATGCCACTGGAAAATCAGTAACTAAATGCATTTTTCCCAAGCCTATGTCAATAATATACGCTTTTAAGATAGAGTGATCCCGGGATTTTCACAAAACGTGTGACTTGAGCGAAATGTTACGTTATCTAACAACTTAAAGATGAGCAATAAATCATCAACTTATAAACTAAATATCCAGTAAAATCAGTAAAACTCTCACACAAAGGTTTATAAAATATCAAGCAATCGTAATAATGACATAATTTTCGTTTTATATACCACATAGGGCCGTTTAATTCTTATTTCACGAATTCAGAATTTAAATGATAAGAAACACGTCTATGTCTCCCCCGCATTTCCAAACAACCGTTTCTATGGCAACTGCCATAAAGTAACTATCAAAGATATTTAAAATGTTTTTTAATTTAAAATATTCATCAAGTGTCTATATTTTCATTTGTAATTTTCAACCAATTCCACTGAATAATAAATAAAATATGAAGAAATTCCACGAACTTTTGGATCAACCCTCGTACTTGTGTGCCAAATTATATTAAAATCAGACCAAAATTGTAGGAGGAGAAGCGTTTTAAAGGAATTTCACAGAAATTTCTATTTTTAGTAACCATTGCAACACCGTTCAGCGAAATCTAAAACTGATGCACTTAATTATGTATCTTAATGCAGTCTACTTTTATGCCAAATCATATTGAAATCAGACCAAAACTGTAGGAGGAGTAGCATTTTGAAAAATTGTTTACAAACAGACGGACAGACAGACAGACAGACAGACAGACGGACACCTTACTATCGCATAGGCTCTTCTGGTCTCTGACTAGCAGTGACTAGTAGAGCTAAAAATATTGATCATTCGCCTTTAAACAAAAAAAAAGCATTACATACATTTCAGGAGAAAAATTCTTCGTGCGTTGAAACGAAGGCCAGGAATAATGGAGTTTGTAGAGAAAAAGTCACGTGATTGTAAACACAGGTAAATACTACTCACTCCGCTATTGTATAAAGTTTATCAACCAAATTAGTTTTATGTTTGGCCGAGAAAGATAGAATTCCTCATTTGGTATACATTTGTTCTGTGGGTTTCAAGGCGATTTTATTTGTAAAATACTTTATAATGATACATGTTTATTTTGTAGAAGTTCGGGCTTTACGGACCGTGGATATCGGCCTGGATAGCTCAGTGGTTAGAGCACCTGACTAGTAATACAGGGGTCCCGGGTTCGATTCCCGGTCCAGCCATATGTTTTCTTCGTGCATTTCTCCTTTCCTATTACATTTGGTGGCCAGTGTGGGGGGCCTTGTTCAGGTTACAGTGTATGTGTAAATTAGTAATTCCTGGCAGGGCCCTAGAACTTGTGTCTTCGAGGTCGAAGACTGTTTAAGGAGGGAGGAATGTAGAAGTTCGGGCTTTACGGACCGTGGATATCGGCCTGGATAGCTCAGTGGTTAGAGCACCTGACTAGTAATACAGGGGTCCCGGGTTCGATACCCGGTCCAGCCATATGTTTTCTTCGTGCATTTCTCCTTTCCTATTACAATTTCAATAAAATTAAATATGAGTTATTGTAGATATCTAAAATAATTAAAATTGTTGTTGAATGTGTAGAAACTTTATTTAATCTGTATTTATAACACAACTCACAATGCTCTCTGAAATTCAACAGAAAAAAATCTTTTTAGGAGATATCTTGGTCTGGAAAACGTTTGCCCGCATAAATTCAAATATGTCACAAGGATAGTCAGACGTGGGAAGTCTTGCTATGTAGTATTTCCTCATCGGCAATGTATAACATACGCAGACTGTGGAAAGAAAATGTAAGTAAAATTTGTGGCATACATACTTTCAAAACGATGTTAGTGAGTGTACTGGTGAGAAGATAAAATATAAGAACATACTATCATTTGTTTTCACTTTTGCGCGCGTTTGTTGTAATCTACAGGCCTCTTAGATTTGTTCTCTTTGGCGAAGGTGTGCTCCGCTTTGCTGTAGCTTGATTACTATTATTTGGCATTTAGTAATAAATAATTTTGGATTATATTTCAACGCAATTAATTTACGTAATTAAACAATAAATTCCTAAATTACAGGGGTTGCTCGAGGAATGGTCGCGTAAAGAGTGCTTGTCTGCCTGATCGATCCCGCATTTTTAATGTTTGGGTTTACTGTGTGGACAAGTGTCGATTTGAACTGGAGACCTTGGAGCTACCTCAGTGCTGTACCTGCAGAGAATACTCCACTTGCGATGATGGTGATGGAGATGGAAACGGTGGTGGAGATGGTGGCAGTGATGGAGATGGTGATGGAGATGGTGGCGGTGGTGGAGATGGTGGCAGTGATGGAGATGGTGATGGAGATGGTAGCGGTGGTGGAGATGGTGGCAGTGATGGAGATGGTGGCGGTGGTGGAGATGGTGGCAGTGATGGAGATGGTGATGGAGATGGTGGCAGTGATGGAGATGGTGATGGAGATGGTGGCAGTGATGGAGATGGTGATGGAGATGGTGGCAGTGATGGAGATGGTGGCGGTGGTGGAGATGGTGGCGGTGGAGGTCCAAGTGGCACGAAATGATGATTCCAAAGTTATCGTTATGTCAGCACAGGATGAAATAAAAATTTAAAGCAATAAAGAAAATGAAAAAAAAAAGTGATGACAGAATCTGATGAGAATCTGTAGAAGGACAGCCTGTAATATGTTACACGGATTTGAATCGTGTGCTACATAGTTGTCAATAAAAAGCCTCAAAGTGCAACTGTTTGTTTATTTCATTCTCATAACATTTTTATCAGTTCTAGGCTTAGTGCCTTCTTGATGAAGTGTGCAAAAAAAAAATATTGAGATAACGAACAGTACGGTAATCAAACTCAAATGACTATTGAAACAATACAAATTAGGAGCAGAGCAATCTTGGACCTCTAAAAAAATGGTGGGATCAGGTGCCATGGATGAGTAAGCATTCCCTGTGTCAATGGAGGAAAAATGTTAACGGGCTCTGTGTGTTATCCATATCCACTTATTGACATCCCCGAGAACGAGTATTTTGTCAAGGTATTTTTGTATCTACAAAAAGTTAACTTCTAAATAACATCTCCATATGACCCAATAAAATTTTGCTTGTGCGTAAACTTATAGCTGTTGAAATGAATTGTACAAGGAAAAAGTTCAAAGAATAAATATTAAATTCATATATTTAAGGAATGAATTTAATAGCTACCCAAAGTTATACTGTATAGCCTGGGTTGGGGTAGTTTTATAAGCTTTATAAACCGCATAGCGCGGGTTTATAAAAAATGTAACTTTTAAAACCCAGGTTATACTAGTATAACTTGGATTGCTTTGAAATACATTCCTTATAATTTAATTTTCCATCACAAAGTGTAAAAAATAAGACCATTTCTTCTTCAAAAATGACTTCAAATTGTATATATATTTTGAATATAACATCAAGCGATTGATACGTTTTATGTATGTGAATATTTATTATATAACTGAAAGATTTAAATTGAATATATGTATAATTGTCTGATGTGCCATATTGCATAACGAAATACTCCAAGTAAAGAAATGAATTGATGCAGTTCATCATGTTCATTGTAGCATAGACAACACAACTTACCGATATATGATTTAAACTATTTTTTATCCATCAAATGATGCGTAACAACCAAAAATTAAATGATTATACATTTATAGGATCTAAGAGAAGACCATGTAAAAGCAACCGGTAAGAATCGCGATATAATGTAGGTATAATAATTCAGAAAAGTCTGAAGTGTTCCAAGCGGTTTATAAAAAAGCGTAAACTGTTCCAACCCAGTTTTTACCGTATTAAATGGGTAGCTATTAAATTCATTGTTTATAATTTAATTTTCATTCATTTGATGTAAGAAAAAAAGATGATTGTTCTAACAAAATGACTTCAATTTGTACAAAATTTGAATGTAACGTCAGGCGGATTGATACGTTTTTGACGCAAGTCATTGTGACGTAGGCAACCCATTTTATATGATATAAAGTAAATTTTTTATCCAATGAAATACAGCGTTACAACCAGAATTAAATTATAACGTTATGAACACGAAATAAAGATCCCTCCCTGCTCAATGGCCCAGAGTACCGAGCTAGTATAGGTCAAAATTTGAAGCTCTTCACCGGCAAGTGGCGGCGTCTCCATATGAGAGAAAAATTCTCGAGAGAGAAGTTAAACAATAAAGAATCATACAAAACCAAGCAACGTAGCACAGGCAATACTAGTTTCCTTCCGACAAGTGTCCCCATGGCTTCCTCTCTGAGGAGGAAATTCTTCATAACCATATGTCAGGTTTGATATCTTTACTAATTCCAATAATCAAAATGAATTTGATTTGTCATGCTTACTAAGTATACTGATTCCAAAACTGCGTAAACAAAGCTTTGCAAACAAAGGTAAATGTACATATCGGATTCCAATAAATGTTCTACAATGCCTCTTTCTAAACTACTCACTAATATATTAACATTGTAAAAAATATGCAACAGCAAGACATTCTCTGAAGAGTAATTTATTTTCATTCAATAACTTTTACAATTTAATTGTACATTATAGTTGTCCATTTGCTGCTATGAGTTGTTTTTTTTCTCTAATCCAAAAAATGTGGAAATTGATATAGTTTAAAAGAATGTGGTAGGTTTTTTTAATCTTAAATTTTTATATAGATCAGAGAATTATATTTTGCATATCAAGTATTTTCAGTCTTTGACACTACTAAGTTATTGTTTTGTTGCTGAAAATAATTACTTGTATTTTGACAATTTTATGATATTCTGTATAAGATGAAGACTACGTGTATCTAATTTGCAGAATATGTGTCCTATCCTTTTGACTTTATCAATGAAATATGTTCAATTCAGTTTAGATATTAATAGCAGTGACTTTGGTTGTAATGTACAACAATAATACTACATGTAGTATTCAAGAAGTGCAATGTAGATAAACACTGAAAGCAACACCTAGAAGACTTGAAATAATATCAAAACGTACGACCAATCAACACTTATATTATTCCCCATGATTATATTGTTACTAGTATCTATGGAACGCCGTCACTGCCTTATGTGGAGAACTTTCATCATATACTGGTACTTTGTCATTATATGATGGTATTTTGTCATTATATGATGGTACTTTGTCATTATATGATGGTATTTTGTCATTATATGATGGTATTTTGTCATTATATGATGGTACTTTGTCATTATATGATGGTATTTTGTCATTATATGATGGTATTTTGTCATAATATGATGGTACTTTGTCATTATATGATGGTATTTTGTCATTATATGATGGTATTTTGTCATTATATGCTACTACTTTTCATTATATGCTACTACGATGTCATTATATGTTACTACTTTGTCATTATATGCTACTACTTTGTCATTATATGCTACTACTTTGTCATTATATGCTACTACTTTGTCATTATATGCTGGTACTTTGTCATTATATGATGATACTTCAACATTATATGAAGATAATTTTTAAATAGGTATAATATCGGGATCGGGATACCGTTAAGTAGTACAATAGTTTAAGGGAAAAAATGGCGCAAAATTGTGAAAACGCGGTCACATTGAAAAGCATCCTCGAAGAACTAATGATGGGTCCGCAGGTCATCGATAGATTTGTAGAAGAGATGTTGAAAATATTTTAAGCTTGAGCGATGAACAATTGAGCAGTTCTGGAATTACTACTACTGGCGATCGAATTTATGTGAGAGAAATGGTCAAATGCAAAACCGAGAAAAGTTCAAACACTAGTGGCAAATTTAAGGGCAAGTGGTAAATCTAGTCTTCCCGACTCCCGAAGGTCCCGGATTTAGGATTTTTAGCGATTTCCTTTTATTGTAGCTGCAGATCTGTAGTGTTATGGTTTTATGTATTTGTCTTTGATCATAACGCTACAGATCCTGTAACGCAAAAAAGGTGCAATTTATGGCGCAATATTTTCTGCGCACTTTTTGGGAGAATTTCTCTACTTTCCAACATCGGCCAATTAACTACCTTTCACTTCCTAATTCTAGGCATATTATTTGACTAATCTGTATCTTTTATCTTTCTCCCAACCCTTTATAGTCGTCTCTACACGTGATAAACTCGCTTGATTAAAATTATTTGTTAGATTGCTGAAAATTCACTTCAAGCGAGTTTATTGCCTGTAGAGACCATTATAAATGGTTGGGAGGTGGATAAAATATACAAATTGGCTACAGAATATGTCTAGAATTAGGGAGTAAAAGGTAGTTGACTGACCAATGCTAGAAAGTGGTGAAATTCTCCCCAAAAGTGCGCAAAAAATATTGCGCCGTAAATTGCACATTTTTTGCATTACGGGATCTGTAGCGTTGTGGTCAAAGACAAATATATAAAACCATGACGCTACAGATCTGCAGCTACTTTTATTGTTGCACAGAATTTTATTCAAATTTTTCATCAAATTTTCTAGGTTTAAATGAATTCATTAATGCATGAAAACTTTAGGAGACATGCGTATTTATTACTGAATCAGCAGTATGACTATCACCTGCCAAAAAGCAGTAAATCTAGTACTCTGTTGTAAATGTTAAAACCAAAAACGGACACCGATGTTTTCGTAAAATCTCGATTAAAAACAACAAAATGAAGTATGTATGTTTTTAAAAAAGGTAAAAGGAAAACCTCATTTACATACTAGATAATTTGTACGCACAAAAACTTTTACATATTTTCTTTATTTAATTTAAAGTTATGCTCATTACTTATCGATACATAGCGATGAGCGGAGACGTGAGGTTTCGTAGATCATTATATTGATATTTTTTGGGAAGATAATTGGCGGTGTTAAAAAAATATGAACATATTAATTTTCATTAAATCCATAACATGAAAATGACTTTTAAAGTCAGTTGCCTAAAGAATTTCAATCATATATATAATTTTTTTTAACATGTCAATGGAGACGATAATGACTTATCATTAAAAGCTTTATTGAAGCAGTGTTAGATTAATTTCCTAATCACCTGATACAGTGAGAGTGAAGAGATACTCTGTCAGTCTGTCAAATAAAAAAAAATTCTGTATGGTAAACTGCTGCTAAATCGAAGCTATTGACAAAAAAGCTATTTGTGCTTTTACAGTAATTAAGCTACAAAAGTGCAATCAAATTAAAAAATAAAAAATAAAAAGGGGGGCTCCGAGGTAGAACCATATGTCAACGTCGTAGAGCCCGACTGTGAACATGATGTGACAAAGTGTTCTATTAGTACATGTATACAAGGAAAAGAAAGAAAATATGTGTGTGTTTTTGTGCATAGAAATTATCTGGCATGTAAATGAGGTTTTCCTTTATTTTTTTTTTTTTTAAAGTAAAAAATTTACTTCATTTTCAATTTTTTTTGTTTTTAATCGCGACTCGGTATCCGTTTTTGGTTTTCAAATTTATAACAGAGTTCTAGATTTACCGCTTTTTGGCAGGTGATACATCTGGTTCAGTAATAAATACACAAATTTGTTAGTTTTTATGTACGAATGAATTCATTTAAACCTCGAAA